AAATTAAAAGTTATTCATTCCAACACTCCCCCCCCACCACCTCATTTACATTCTATGCAGAAAAAGTCTCCCTTGCTCTTATGAATTGAAGTAAATGGAAGAACAGACTTGGGCTCAAAATAAGAACAAGCTTTCATAAATGAAACATGATGTGTGAAAGAGTTGAGTAACATGTCAACTGCAAAGAGTACATCAATGTGGAGTACTGTACTAATCATTCAAGCTGCCCAAATATAGACAGTTCTGCCTGAAAAGTTCTGCATGTCCCATCACTAAATGAGCTCAAGTAGTTCCCCCAAGGGCAGTATTAGAGGGGATCCCCGCCACACAGGTTTTGAGGAAACTTCTAAAGGCCCTTCCAACACCAAAGAGGTGATCATACTGGGACCTAAATTATTATTCCAGACCTATCTCTGGTTTTTTTTCAAACCATGGATGCATGTAAGTAGCTTGTTCTGACTATGTCCTAAATTAATACCAGTCATTTTTAGTGAGAACTGGAAAGCAGGTATTTTTGGTTATTTAAACAACTGCAGCATTCTTTATTAATGGAAAAAATTAGAGTATTTTTTTAATTATGTAGTATAAAGAACGGTATGTAAGCTTTGTACTGAGGGAGGTCAGCACATATCAGCTGTATTACTTGGGCAGGATGCTTAACCTCTCTGAGTCTCTGTTTCATTAGCAGCTAACACAAGGAATACAATCCTGTCAATTTTTGTGGAGGTCCCCATGGAGTAGTAAGCCAAAGTCCTAGGGTTCGGTGGCTGCCCAACAAACAATATCTATTGTTATTGCTGCTGTTTGTATAAATAAAGAATAAAACAAAGATCTTGTGATGTACACTTGTTTTTACATTAAGGAAGCACTAAAACCCTTGAAAAGAATAATTATAATCTTGTATGTTTATAAGATTATTTTTCTTCAGAAGCATTATTAATTTAGAAGTTTTCCTTAAAAATGGAGGACATGATGCAGAAGGATCAAACCACTTTTTCAGCCAGAATGCTAAACAATGATTTGTGTTTTCAAATAAACCCTTTTGAGCCATGTTCCTGGGAAAATGATGTGTGGTCTGAGCATCAGCACAGGCATAGCCTGTAGTAAAGAGGTCTGTTAGGCATGATCTTTCTTAGAGCTCTTAGAACTTTTATGCTCCTGAAAATAAGGATTTGTCATAAAGGATCTCAACTCAAGACTGAAAATTTAGGGTGAAATTAATAACATATTAACACTCTCATAGCATAATTCTAACCTGTGAGAAGCACAGGTGGAACGACCATCCAGAATATACTTTTGTTAAATGCTGAGCTTTCTGTGGGAGTGAAAACAAAGAGTTGCAAACTTTCCCCATCACACACACGTACATGCACACACTAATAGTATATAACCAATGTGCTTTGCAACTCCCTGGAAAAGAACAGACACATGTTAAGCACATCAGCACTGTCTGGAAATGGACAGTTGGACATACAACATTGTGAGCTCTCTGACAACAGAAGTCCTCAGCAGAAAGCGGAGCTTCAGATGCTGAAATAAGTTTTCCTGAAGCGAAAGACTAGACTGCTCTATTGCTTCAGATCTCAGCTTGACATGTTCAATAGGTTGTTTTTAGATTTTCTCAAAAGTCAATTTATGAATGACTGTTCTTCAGTAACTTCGGTAAACAAGCAGACTACCTTCACTTTCCAAAACATCTTTTTTACCCCCTTCTAAGTCCCAACTGTTCAAAACATTCACCATTTTTTACTCAAACGGGGAGCTGACAAAACCAGTCATGTGGTTCCCCTTGATGCTCAGAATACTGTAAGCAGTTAAATTAATCCTAACCCACCTGCCTCTTTTAAGTGAAACTTTTAAATTGGCTGATGCACTTGCTGCCAGTGGATCCATGGAAGGCAAAAGAAAATGCTGGGAAACACTAGAATAAACTTAAGAGAAAGGCTTGCTTCACTCTCATTGAACTGGGAGAGGTGTTCTAGTCCCACCCCGACAAGGAAACCAAGTCGCACCGCACTGCCCGGCTTGTTAAAGGCAGAGCCTGAAGTAAACCTGCTACCCAACCCCTAGTTCTGTTTTCACTCATACATGCACACACCTCGATTTCACTTGAAATTCTTCTTCTTGTTTGATAAAGAGTGAAACCACTAAAAAATTGTTGTGAAAAACTGGTTTCATAGTTGACTGATTTAATTCCACGGGGAGAGAGAGGCAAGGATGCCTCAAAGTCCCCTTGCTTACCAGAATAACGCCCAGTCAGGCATGTTCATGGGGCTGTAGGAGTGCAGGAGATTTCTGAGGGAGAAAATAAAGGGGAAAAAAAATTCTATGATTTAGCCATGATTTAACTATGGGGAAATGCCTCTATTTCTGGAGTGAGAGGAGAGTGAATATCATTAATTGCCACTTTGGGTTTCTTCCCCAGAGTACTTAGGACTGGTTTTTCAAGTGTAGAGAAGAGCCCCAACAAGCTGCAACAGCTCATGGTACATTGCCTCACACTCCATATCTGTGCCTGGAGCCTTCTCATCCCAGATGAGCTCCTGGCTCCTTGTCTCCTGGCTTCTGTCAAGAGAACACAGACCAGGGCAGCGTGTTAGCAGAAGAGGTAGAAATGGTGGCAGCATTAGAAGACAGAAGGGTGGCAGGACTAGAGCTCTGGCGTGTCTCAGTCTGCACTTGTCCACATTTCAGAGGGAGCTGCCTGCCTGGATGGCGGTTGAGAGTCACCTGGGTGTTCCCTTGAGACATCCACATTGGTACTGGTCCCGGCTTTTTTTTTCCCCTTTACCATTGAAAAGTGCAGCCCATTTCAGGAGCTGCCACATCAGCATCCACTCTCACCATTCAGTAAAACTTTGCATCCACACATCCCGGCGTTCTCAGTCAAACCAGTGGCTGCTTCTTTCCTTTCTTCGTTTTCCTGCCTTTCACCAGTCACTGTGGCAAGGTTGATATTATGCAGAATGTTGAAGTTAAATTAGGACTGAAAGGATGAGTAGAATCTGCCCCACATTTTTCCAGGAAGTAAATAACGTAAATGACTTTTTATGGATGTCAACTGTTCATATATCACCTTCACAATTCTTCCATGTTACATATGTAGTATTTCATTTATATTGACTTTTTAAAACTTTAATATTTACTTTAGCCTCAGTCTAAGAAATAAAAATCTGTCAAATCATGAATTTGAAGAACATGCATATCTTTCTAGTTTATGTTAAATTTAAATATATAACTGAACATTTTTGATATTTACCCCTATAGCACCAAAAATTATCAGTGGGAAGTATAGATTTGGGAAACACTGAATAATCAAATTAAAGAATGCTGTGAAACATGACTGCCAGACTTGCCAGAAAAAAAACATTAAATAATGTTAGGTGGAAAGGCTCGGGGCAAAGTATTCAGAACTTTGATATGGGAGGGGGGAAGCATGGAGTGATAAACGTTGGGGAATGCAGTTGAAGCAATGCTTAAAAAAATTCACCCACTCAACACAAACAGGATACACTGGACGTGAGGAAGCCTAGATGTGAGAAGGCCAGAAGTCTGTTAGAAACCATAGCCATGCAAGGCAGGGAGAGTCAGGACTACACTCAGAGACTCAAGAGGGCGGGGGGGGGGCTCAGTTAGGGTGGAAAAACAGACAAGAACCTGCAGACAGAGGAGAAGAAAACTGAAGGAGACATTAAAAATGACTGCGTTTTTTTTAAACTTTATTTTCATTGGTGGCATTATGACAGATGTCCCCATTTCCCACAGCCCTTGGCCCACCTCCACCCAGCCCTGCCCCCCTCCACCTTCTGGCCACCACCACACTGTTGTCTGTGTCTGTGGGTCATGTGTGAATGTTCTCTGGCCAGTCCCCTCACCTTCTTTCATCTGGTCACCCCTCCACCCTCCTATCACAACTGACGGTGTGTTCCATGTGTCCATGCCTGTGGTTCTATTTTGTTCACCAGTTTATTTTGTTCATTAGATTCCATGTACATGTGAGATCATACAGTGTTTGTCTTTCTCTGACTGGCTTAATTCTCTTAGCATAATAATCTCCATTTTCACAGGAGTGACTGCTAATGCCATTGACAGGTGACATGGGAAGGGGATTAGACATCCAAATGAAATATCCAATAAGCATTTAGTAATATGGTTCAAGGGCTGAATGAGAGGACAAGATTATAGTGATTTGAGAGTCAGCAGCAGAGATTTGGCAGATATAGTTAACAAACGCATATTTAACCCAAGATACAAAGTAAGGAGAGCAAAACACAGTTCTGTTCAGATATCCAGGCCGAAAGAGTGTAGGAGAATCCCTTAATCAATAGCAAAAACTCTGCTCTAGAGCAGGTTTCTCAGCCTGGGCAGAGTAGACATGGACAACGTTGTGCTGGGGAGAGGAGGGTATGACTAAATGGTAATGGGGAAAAAATGCAATGAAGATTAATAGAAAGTGAATAGACCAAAAAAAAAAAAAGAAAGAAAGAAAGAAATTACCATGATCTGGATCCCACCCCCAGCACAATTAATTATGCCTCTCTGAGACCGAAACATTAATATTACCACCAAATTAAAATTCTGAAAAGTATAGAAAATTTGAGACATATAATAAACTTTAAACCAGGCCTCTTAATCCTGCACTTCAAGAAGAAACCCAATTTTCTAGAGCATTGTCTTAGAGATAATAGATGAAATTAAGTACATTAATATATTATAATAATTTTATCTGTGTAGGATTTGGGTTTTTTCCCCTGAAATCTCCATTTTTTTACATCCTTTTGTTTTTTTCCATTTTATTCAGAATTTTAGTTGTTTCATTTGTGAGGATCTCTCAGGGTATTTAGTCTGGACAATCTAATAAGAAAATATATTTATCTATGTGCACATTGGCAAGTTTTCTTTTTCTCAATTTTCAATGCTTCTAAAATTGTAGGGCCTAGTATGAGATTTCTTCTTTTATCATGTATATTTAAAAAAACGTTTTCTTGGTTTTTCCAAAGATGGCAGAGGAGTGAATGGGAGTCATACAGACCTCCTCCCAAGACCAAACTGGAATTGCGACTAAATAGTGGAGAAATCACCTGGAAAACAATGGAATGATAGAGGGAGAGAAACCTTGGAGCTACAGACAGGCAGTGGAATCAACTCTCACACATCCCAACGGGTGAGAAGTGCGGTGGAGGCTCGAGAGGGTGGGCTGGGTGCCCATGGGCACTGGCACCAGAGGGACATTGAAACGGCCAGTTGGATCCCCTGAGAAGAACAGGGTCTGAATCATAAACAGGGATGCCTAGACTAGGGCAGCTGAAAATAGGAAAACACACAGACAAAACACAACCCCAAAAAGCTTAGGGGCGCTCTCTGCCAGAGACAGGCGGTTGGAGATGCAAAGAGACATTTAAAGGGCCAACGCAAAAATGTGCAGTGGCAGCTGCCAGCCTTGATCTCTGGGTAGAGACGGCAGCAGAGTGGGCTGGTGCCTGGGAAAAGATTGGTGAGGAAGACTTTGTGAAGAGAACAGAGACGGTGCCCAGCAGAGCCCCGGTCATAACTCACCTCCCACTCTGCAGCTACCATCTCACTCAGGCATAAGAGAATCAATTAACTTGTCTTTTGCTCGCTCTGCACACAGCCTGTGCGTGTGTGGGCTAGGGGCCGAATGCAGACTGGCTGGAAGAAATAGAGGATCCCTGGCCTAAGGGGACACACAGGTGCAGAGAGACCCTTGAGGAGAAACTGGAGACAGAAGCGGGTTGGGGAAAAACTGGAGGATTATCCAAGATTCCCAGAGCAGACTCCCTCCCCATTCCGTAGTCCCCATTTTGCACATGCAGGCCACGCCCCTCAAGGAGGCAGAAGCAGGTGCGCAAGCCAGAATGTGCGTGATTACAACATGGTGGGCAGAAATAGTGGATCCATGGCCAAAGGGGTCACAGAGCTGCCCAGAGACCCTTGAGGAGAGACTGGAGACAGAGGTGTTGGAGAGTCCCAGTGCTGACTCTTCCCCAGTCCACGATCTACATCTTGCTCTGGCGGACTACTCCCCTGAGTGACAGCAGCCGATAAGGGCACCATAGTTCCGCCATCGGGAGGCACTGCTCCGCCCTGTGGTGCCTAAGCCTGACAGATGAGGACAGAGTGACCAGATTGACAATCACAGGAGACAGACACAGACAGTAGATACCTGGAAGGCTCAAATAAATGGCCCAAAGTCAGATAGGGTCAACAACTGACACCATCAGAGGCAGACCCAGAAAGAAAAGGAAAGAATAAATAAATAAATAAATAAATAAATAAATAAATATACCCGCCTACAACCATAGAAGTTTAATCCACAAAGTCAGGAAATCTAGATGGATCAACTGAAGCAGAAGCAAAAAAATTATATATGGAGACTCTCACAAAAATAGGAAGAAAAAGAAAGTCCCCCCAACTGAGGGGATAGAAGGAATCCCCCACAGAGAGAGCTAAAAGAAATAGAGGCAAGGGAACTATCAGATATTGAATTCAAAACAATGGTTCTAAGACAGCTCAATGAGCTCAGTGAGCTCAAAGATAACTATGAGAAACTGCAGAGAAACTATCAGAAACTTACAGCAAACTATATCAACCTGGAAAAGGACATAGAAACTATCAAGAAGACACAAGAGGATGTGAAGAATATCATTTCTGAATTGAAGAACACAGTAGAAGGAATCAAAAGCAGGCTAGATGAAGCAGAGGATCGAATCAGTGAGCTGGATGATAAGGTAGAGAAAAGCTCCCAGAAAGAACAAGAAATAGAAAAAAGACTCAAAAAGAATGAAGAGGCATTTCAGGAAATGCAGGACAACCTGAAACGCAATAATATCCGCATAATAGGGATACCAGAAGGAGAAGACAAGCAAGGGATAGAGAACCTCCTCGAAAAAGTAATGATGGAAAACTTCCCCAATTTGAGGAGAGAAAAGGTTTCATGAGTCCAGGAAGCACAGAAGACCCCATTCAAGAGGAACCCAATGAGGCCCACTCCAAGACACATCATCATTAAAATGGCAAATATCAAAGACAAACAGAATCTTAAAGGCAGTAAGGGAGAAACAGGTAGTAACATACAAGCAAGCCCCAGTATGGCTAGCATCTGCCTTCTCAACAGAAACACTACAAGCCAGAAGGAAATGGCAAGAAATATTCCAAGTAATGAAAAGCATAGGCCTAAAACCAAGGCTGCTCTACCCAACAAGGCTCTCAATTAAAATAGAAGGGTAAATAAGGAGTTTCCCAGACAAAAGAAGGCTAAAAGAATATATCACTACCAAACCAGCACTACAAGATATGCCAAAGGGACTGGTTTAAGAAGATGAAGGAAAAGAGTGAGAAAGCGAAAAACACAGGTACAAAGAGAAGAAATGAATAAGTTTCTATCAGTAATAACTCTCAATGTAAATGGACTAAATGCCCCAATCAAAAGACACAGAATAGCTGAATGGATAAGAAAACATGACCCACACATATGCTGCCTACAAGAGACCCACCTCAGAACAAAAGACCTACACAGATTGAAAGTAAAGGGATGGAAAAAAATATTGCAAGCAAAAGAAGAGAAGAAAGCGGGCGTGCAATACTTATATCAGACAAAATAGATTTCAAAACAAAGGCCATAAAAAGAGACCCAGAGGGGCACTTCAAGAAGACATAAACATTGTAAACTTGGGTGCTCCTATGTTGGGTGCATATAAGTATATAAGGAAAATCTTGGATGACTTCAAAAAAGATACAGACAGCAATACACTGATAGCAGGGGATTTCAACACCCACTGTCAAAAATGGACAGACCTTCCAAACAAAACATCAACAAGGAACATCAACAATATTGTGGAGCTGAACGATGCACTGAATCAAATGGACTTAACTGACATATATAGAACCTTACATCCCAAAGAAGCAAAATACACATTCTTTTCAAATGCACATGGAAGTTTTTCAAAGATAGACCACATGATAGGACACAAAGCAAGCCTCAGCAAATTCAGGAAAATTGAAATAATACCAAGTCTTTTCTTGGACCACAAGGGCCTGAAACTGGAAATCAACCTCAAAGAGAAACTTCAAAAACTTGCAAACTCATGGAGACTGAACAGTACACTATTAAACAATGAATGGGTCAATAATGAGCTAAGAGAAGAAATCAAAAAATTTCTGGAAACAAATGAAAATGAACAGACAACAGTCCAAAACCTATGGGACACAGCAAAGGCGGTCCTCAGAGGGAAGTTCATAGCAATACAGGCTTACCTAAAAAAGGCAGAAACATTTCAAATAAAAGACCTAACACTACAACTTCAAGAACTGGAGAAACAACAACAGATAAATCCCAGAGCAAGTAGAAGGAAGGAAATAGTCAAGATCAGAGCAGAACTGAATTACATAGAGATGAAAAGAACAATTCAAAAGATCAACCAATCCAAGAGCTGATTCTTTGAAAAGATAAATAAAATTGACAAGCCTTTAAGCAGACTCATCAAGACAAAAAGGGAGAGGACCCAAATTAATAATATCAGAAATGAAAGAGGAGAAATAACAACTGATACCACAGAAATACAAAGGATAGTCAGAAACTACTATGAACAATTATATGCCAAGAAATTTGAAAACCTAGATGAAATGGACAAATTTCTAGAAAAGTATAATCTTCCAACACTGAAGGAGGAAGAAACAGAAAGCTTGAACAGACCGATAACAGCTGGGGAAATTGAAGCAGTCATCAAGAAACTCCCAGCACACAAAAGCCCTGAACCAGACGGTTTCCCAGGAGAATTTTACAAAATATTTAAGGAAGAGCTAACCCCTGTCCTTCTCAGACTATTCCAAAATATCCAAGAGGAGGGAAGACTCCCAGACTCTTAATGAGGCCAGCATCACCCTGATCCCAAAACCAGATAAAGACCCTACAAAGGAAGAAAACTACAAGCCAATTTCGCTGATAAACATAGATGATAAAATCCTCAACAAAATATTGGCAAACCACATACAGCATTACCTTAAAAAGATTATCCTCCATGATCAAGTGGGATTCATACCAGGGATGCAGGGATGGTTCAAGATACGCAAGTCAATAAATGTAATACATCACATAAACAAAAGGAAAGACAAAAACCACATGATCATCTCAACAAATGCAGAAAAAGCATTTGATAAGGTACAGCACCCATTTATGATCAAAACACTCAGCAAAATGGGAATAAAGGGGGCATTCCTCATGTAATAAAATCCATATATGAAAAACTTACAGCTAATATCATACTCAATGGGCAAAAACTAAAAGCTTTCCCACTAAGATCAGGAACACGACAAGGATGTCCACTTTCACCACCTGTATTTAACATAGTATTGAAAGTCCTAGCCACAGTGGTCAGACAAGAAAAAGAAATAAAAGGCATCCAAATAGGAAAGGAGGAAGCAAAACTATCATTGTTTGCAGATGACATGTTAGTGTACATAGAAAACCCTGTAGACTCCACCAAAAAACTACTGAATCCAATAAGTGAATTTGGCAAAACAGCAGGACACAAAGTCAATACTCAGAAATCGTCAAAGGCATTTTTGTACACCAGCAGTGAAATAGAAGAAGAAATCAGAAAAAAATACCATTCGATATAGCAAGAAGAAAAATAAAGTACCTAGGAATAAATTTAACCAAGGAGGTAAAAGACCTGTACGCAGAAAACTATACAACATTGAAGAAAGAAATTAAGGAAGACACAAATAAATGGAAGCATATGCTGTGCCCATGCATCGGAATAATTAACATCATCAAAATATCCATACTACCCAAAGCAATTTATAGATTCAACACAATCCCTATTAAAATACCAATGACATATTTCACAGAAATAGAGCAGACATTTCAAAAATTTATATGGAACCATAAATGACCCCGAATAGCAGCAGCAATTTTGAGAAAGAAAAACAAAATAGGAGGGATCACAATATCGGACATCAAACTATATTACAAAGCCACTATACTCAAAACTATCTGGTGCTGGCACAAGAACAGACCCAGACCAGTGGAACAGAACAGAAAGTCCAGAAATAAGTCTATATGGGCAACTAATATTTGACAAAGGGGGCAGAAGCATAAAGTGGATTAAAAATAGCCTCTTCAACAAATGGTGTTGGGAGAGCTGGATGGCTCCTTGCAAAAAATTGAAATTTGACCATCAGCTGACACCATACACAAAAATAAACTCAAGATGGATAAAAGATTTAAATAAAAGTCACAACACCATAAAAGTCCTAGAGAAGAACATTGGCAGGAAACTCAGATATCCCACGCAGCAGTTTTTTCATCGATATGTCTCCTAAAGCAACAACCATAAAGGAAAAAATAAACAAGTGGGACCTCATCAAAATAAGAAGCTTCTGCACGGCTAAAGAAAACATCAGCACAATAAAAAAGGAGCCAACCGTATGGGAAATTATATTCACTAATGATACATCAAATAGAGGTTTGATCTCCAAGATATATAAAGAACTCGCTCGACTTTACTCCAAGAAGACAAATGATCCAATCAAAAAATGGGCGAAGGACCTGGGCAGATGCTTTTCTAAGGAGGAGATACAGAGGGCCCAGAGGCATTTGAAAGGATGCTTGGCATCACTAGCCAACAGAGAAATGCAGATCAAAACCACCATGAGGTACCACCTCACACCGGTCAGAATGGCCATCATAAACAGATCAACAAACAGCAGGTGCTGGCGAGGCTGTGGAGAAAAGGGGACACTAGTCCAGTGTTGGTGGGAATGCAGACTGGTGCAGCCACTGTGGAAAGCAGTGTGGAATTTCCTCAAAAAGCTGAAAATGGAACTGCCTTTTGATCCAGTGATTCCCCTGCTGGGACTATACCCTAAGAATCCCAAAATGTGAATTCAAAAGAACCTATGCACCCCAATGTTCATAGCAGCACAATTTACAATAGCCACGTGTTGGAAGCAACCTAAGTGCCCATCAGCAGATGATTGGATCAAAAAAAATATGGTACATTTACACAATGGAATACTACGCAGCAGAAAGAAAAAAGAACTACTATACTTCATGACAGCATGGATGGAACTAGAGAGCATTATGCTAAACGAAATAAGACAGGGGGCGAAAGACAAATACCATATGATCTCACCTATAAGCAGAACCTAACTAACAAAACAAAGATGCTAGAAAAATAAGACCAGCAACACTGAAAGGAAAAGAAACCAACAGAGACAAGAGGGAAGGAGGGAGGGGTGGGCGGGGGCAAAAGGAAGGGAAGGGGCAAGTCAAGGAACAGATAGCAAGGACTCATGGACAAAACCGAAGTGGGGAAGGATTGAGGGAGGGAGAGGGAGGCAGGGGGCAGAGGAAAGTAGTGGAGGGAAGGCGGAGTCAAATGTATTCGGAAAAATAAATTAATTAATTTTAAAAAATGTTTTCTTTATACTTATTTGGATGTTGTCCATATTTAATGCTTTCAGAAATGCTCTTAGGGAATCTTAGTATAGGATGGGGCGAAAGTAGGTTTACATATATTTGTATAGAAAATAACACAACACTTAATGACAATATAAGAGTTAACTGCGTTTTGCATACTCATAACTGTAAACTTACTTTTGTTCCACCCTGCTTTTAGTCATTATTTGCAAAGCTTTAAAATCAAACTTAAAAACAATAAAAACATTTAAAGAATTTCAGATTTTTCAAAGTTTTTTTGATTATTTCATATTGGAGAAGAAAGAAATAAAATTCCATAAATCAACAAACAAGTGCTGGCAAGAAAGTGGAGAAAGGGGAACCCTCATGCACTGTCAGTGGGAATGCAAACTGGTGCAGCCACTGTGGAAAGCAGTATGGAGAAACCTCAAAAAATTCTAGGTGGAACTACCTTATGACCCATAGATCCCACTTCTGGGAATTTATCCAAAGAAACTGGCAACATTAATTTGAAAGAATTATGTTAGTTTCGCTATGTTCATTGCGGAGTTATTTACAGTAGTCAAGATTTGGAAGCAGCCCAAGTGCCCATCAGTAGATGAGTAGATAAAACAGCTATGATATATTTACACAATGGAATACCACCTGGCCATAAAAAAGAAAATTTTACCCTTTGTGACAGCATGGATGAACCTGAAGAACATTATGCTAAGTGAAATAAGCCAGTCAGAGAAAGACAAGTACCCTCTAATTTCACTCATACGTGGAATCAAACAAAATAAGCTATTGTAACAAGAAAAATAGAGACAATCATAGGTAGAAAGCAGGGTGACAGCTGTGGGGGTGGAGGAACTGAGCAAAAAAATAAAAAGAGAGAAAGCACTCGCCGACAGAGCGGTGTGCTGATTGCAAGGGGGCGGGGTGAGAGGAGGTGGAAGAGGGTATGAGGGAATAAATGGTGATGGAAAAAATTAAATTTCTTTTAGAAGATTAAAAATAAAAAAAAATAAACTTCTAAGAGAAGAAGCCCATCCTAAAACCAGCTCTGACCCCCAAAGGGAATAATTGCCTTTGTTCCCCCAATGGTCCTGAGTAAAGACACCTGATATTCATCTGAAATATTGTGGCTCATGTGAATTTGAATAGTTAGAGGCAATTCATCCTAAATACTATATGTACAGGTAAAGCTGTGATATTGCAAAATTAATCCCATCATTTACTCATAGCCCTTTAGAATAACTTATTTCAGGTAGATAAAAGCATTCTTTTCTAAATCTCGGTAAATCAACTTTAAAGATTCAACACTTTCTTTATGTTTTTGCTAGGCAACAGTACATTGACATAAAGTTTACTATGTGGTAAGATGAGAAAACTGAATTTAAGAAAAGTTAAATAAACTAAGATTATATACCTCGTTCTAAAAAAGGAATAAATAGCTCACTATTAAGTTCTAAATGAAATGGGAGAAAATTCACTAAGAAATCATCATGTAGAAAAGTGTTGAAAATCCTAGATCAGAAACTTTTTTCCTTGGAGATCAAGGTTTTTATATCATAAATGTGTTTTCTTCTTTTTCCCCACCCTTTCAAATACACTCTATGTTCATAACCTCATAACCTCTCACCTATTAGTATCTACAGAACAAATTGTGTGAATCTTCCTCCAGGCCTTCAGATATCTGAGAACAGTGATCAGGCCCACTGGTAAACTCTCTTTTTTGCAGGCTTAACAGCCCCACTCATTGACCTGTTCTTCACGGAGACCTGCTCCTCTGGTGACTCTCCCCTGAAATGCTAAGGATTTCTGTATCTTTTTCTGAACTCTGTGCTCTGCATAAGTAAATGTAATACTTCACATTAAGTTCAATCAAAACTAGGGAGAGAAAAATAGTTCCTGCTTCATTTTTGTTTAATACAATCTGTACTAATGCTCTTTTCCTATTGGGATTTTTCATATCTAAATCCCACTCCAAAGTCATTGCCAACGCTCTCTGTGAATAACCTCAGGCCTTTCTCACAGGTGATGAGGCCAAACCACATGGCCCACTCTGATGCTTATAAATTGCTTGTTTCTTTTTACAGTCGTTAATGAATATTAAAGTCTTTTCTAACTCATTGTCAGAGTTGTCTAGACATGGCAAGAAAAAAAAAAACACATGGAACTACGCTCTATACAAAATTCACTGAAGAAAATATAATGCCGTTGACCAACACTGAAGCCTCAGTGTCATCCTATAGAAATATATGGGAAAGTTTCTATGATTATTTTAATACTTTGAAAAGATTCTTCTCTCTCCATAGAGAATCTCTGAAGTCATCATAGGGTACCCTTGCAAAATGTATGAAACCAGGCTGTATTATCTAGAAACGTGTCCTTTGATGAGCAGGGAGGAGGGCTGACTGGCATTTTTTTATCTCGTTCATCAAGAAGCAGAATTCACACTGCATTTTACAGGGAGACAGGGATTTGGCAGGACAAATAGAAAAGTGTGGACATTTCTCCAAGCAAGGACCAAGGCTTTATGGTCTCAAATGGCAGTGCAAACTGAATGAGTGTGCAGAACAAAGCCTATGAGATTATGATGGAGCAGGGCCGCATAATGGAGAGAGTGAGGATGACTGAAGTAGAAAAAGAGGCCAAAAGTAAAGATGAAGAAGAAGGACAAGTAGCAAATTGAGGTGAGAAAAAAAATAATAGTTGTCAAAATGATAAAGCTACAAAGTCAAGAGTTAGGAAAGGATTGGTAGTAGGAAGAATAGAGGATGATTTACAAAAGAAGTGGAACAATTCACAGAAAATTGCTAGAGTAGAATAGAACAATCAAAGGTATGGAAAGTAAGAACTTCTGTTGCCTAGGAGAATTTTTCTCATGTTTCATATCTGTTTAATATAAAATTAAGAAATGTTTTACTTTCAGGAATCCTGGCTAAGTAAGCCAAAGAGGTCATCTATCAAGAAGAAAGCACCATTTCTCAACCTTGGTAGTATGTAAGAATCATCTGGAGAAATTTTAAAAAATGTTTAAATTTTTCTATTGACTTCTCTTATAGTTGATTTATTTAACTTTGTAAGTGAAAATTTAAAGATGTTATAGCAATGCTTTTTACTTATTTTTAATTTTTTTTGTTTGTTTAAAGCTTAACTCAAAAGGGAATCATTACTAGACCTGTGAAAAATTACCTGCCTAGTTTTATTGAAACCTTTCTGCAGTGTTTGAGCTTTAAGACATCTTCCTTCCCTTGCGACTTCCTTATAATTTTCATTTTGAATTTTTATGATGTCATGGGGAAATGCTTCTTCAGTGTTTCTAAACTAATCAACACTTTGATTCCCTATTCAAATGATGTCCCCATTGAGAAAGACACTAATTTTAAGATCTGCATGGCTAAACAGAGTCTCAAGCTCAAGTTTCCCACTACTATCAACAGATTGTGGAAGAAAGGAAACTACTGATTAAAATACTGAAATGAAATCGCTGGTTTCTGGAAAAAAACATGACTTTCAGAGAAAAATAAGATACTTTACATAAAAAATATTCCTGCTAAAAATATAATTTTTCAGGAAAATTATACCTTTGTTGCCACACAGCTGATGGTGTAGAATTTATATTAAGTTTTTAAGTTTTCTAAACCATTTAAATTTAAATAAATGTTTTCTATTTGAAATTCTAAGATAAAGAAATTTTAATTTAGAATATTCCCACTTTTAAAGGGGACAAAAACAACCAGGCATTTTATTTTCTTATATCAAAACTATATTTTTTAATTTCTCCTTTTTATACTTGTGAAACATTCCCTCCATGTGCAAAACTGAAGGAATTTCTAATTAGCTGATGCTAAATATTAACCTATATGTTTTTAAAAAATGTTTTATCATTGTACCACAGTAAAAAGGGGAACTGTTATTGTGATGTAAAAACAGCAAAACTTTTTCAGCCTAATGAATAAGTGTGAAACATATCATTGTTTTCTGAATCACTAAGTTTTGCTGTCAGAGTTGTCCGCCCTTTACTTTACTACAGAGATTGGCAGCTTGTGTATCCCCACAGACCTTTCAAAAAAAGCAGGTTTGATTAATTTAGTTCAGTTCAGGATCTTCTTTTACCCACAAAGGATGAGCTCCCTCTTCTTACAGGAACTCAATTATGACATCTCAGCTTTTGTTCATGTTTCCTCTATTTGGCCTGATTATTTATTCCCTACTTCTCTAAACCTAACTGTCCTTCCTTCAAATATTTTATCTTCCATGAGACTTTCCAACCATCAAGCTTACTTTTCTTCCCTCTCTATCTTGCTAGAATGACAAAACCATGGCCAATGAGAAAGGGAAGTAGAAAAGAGGCTACACTAGTATGTTAGATATATTCTTAGTTCATCATGGCAATCAGACCTAATGACAACACAAATATTGCATGGTAGCTGGTATCTTCTTGAGAAGGAAAAGGAGTTCACATATATTACATGTTGATAATTTGCAGGTACCTCCTACACATCTCATTTAATCCACACACCTGTCTACTTGATGCCACTCCTTAACGATTGTCTTAATGTTATGTCTTACTAACAAGTCTCCCCTTTATAAACCAGGAGGATGCCTTGATCTGCGGCAGGAAAGAAGTGGTCAATATACTGGAAATCATCACCATGAGCCAAATTTCTCAAAATTTGATGGGTCACGATAAGATCATAACAAAGAGCAAAGCAATTACCTAGAAAAACAAATTATGGCATCAGCATGCCTTGACAGCATGATACTTAGAATCAGGATTTCCCAGCTGTCCTGTAGAGATTCAGTTTCCTATGTCAAAGTGAATTTAAAAAATTGGCTTTAAAGTCCTCCAGACCAAAATAATTTCTGCCTTCTTGATAGTGGCTCCTATCAAAAATCTGAGAGAATTAAAAGATACAAGAAAACTAATGACTATGCAAACTATTTATGCTGTAGGAATCTAATTCATGTGCCTGAATCTTATACCCTAGAAACCAGTACACAGTAGTTTCCCCTTACCTGCAGTTTCAGGTACCTGTGGAAAACCACAATCTGAAGATATTACATAGAAAATATCAGAAATAAACAATTCATAAGTTTTAAATTGCACCCCTTCTGAGTTACATGATGAAATCTCACACCATCCTGCTCTGTTCCACTCTGGACCTGAATCTTCCCTTTGTCCAGGGTACCCACTCTGTATACGCTACCTGCCAGCTACTCAAAAACCCTCCAGCTACCAAGGATCCCCAACTGTTGACATTGTCTGCTCCTGATATCCAATCTCTGATATCATCATGGTTCCACTATTTAGAATCACCCAAAGCAGATGATCATCCTTCTGATATATTGTCACAAGATCAGTAGAAGCTTACCACTGCATCACAATGGCTACCTACGTCATTCGCCTCACTTCATCTCAGCACATAGGCATTGTATCACCTCACAGCATCACAAGAAGAGTGAGCACAGTATGAGGAAATATTTTAAGAGAAAAAGACAACATTCACAGAACTTTTATTACAGTATATTGTTATAATTGTCCTATTTTATTATTATTTGTTCATCTCTTACTGTGCCTAATTTATAAATTAAACTTAATCATAGATATGTATATATAGAGTAAAAACAGTACATTTTGAGTTTGACATTATCCATGGTTTTAGGCATCTACTGGGGTTTTGGAAACTATCCCCCGCCCCTCCTCCAGATACAGGGAGATTACTATATTTAGTCCTTAGAGCTTCTAACCTCACATTAAATTGCATTTTAATGTTTGGTCCTCAACTTCTCAAAAACACCCCTAAGAAATCTTCTTTGAAATCTTTTACCACAATTGATATAACATGCTAATGTTGACAGCGCTATCTCCCAGTGCTCTAGCCATAGAAAGTTCCCATGTGATTTAAGTCTGAGAGATATTTCTTCTCCTGAGAAACTGATTTCTTCTCCCCTTGGATTTCTCTTTATACTTTGAAAGCATGGCAATTCTAAGACAAGTCTGAAGTTGAATCTAAGAAACCCTAATAGCACTAATTTATGCACAGATATTTTTCCCTTGGTCCTAATTTTCTATTTATATTTAGCAAAGTTGATTAAAGTTATCCATAACTGCAAGTTTCCTTATATTCTGTATTAGAATAGAATCAGGATATACATAAATTTAATAAATAAGTGCTAAGCACTTACTATGTTTATATAACTGTGGTAATTGTTTAGTCCCAACAATTCTATGAAAGTAAACAATGTAAAATGCAAACCTATATCACTCCCTGACTAAAACTTGAGGATGAAGTCTAAGTTTTTATGTATAATTGGCCACTGGATTCCTAAAACTCGACATATTTTGTTTCTCTTTCCTGCCCTCTAAAGAAAGTTCTGGCAGGCTGCTCTGGATCTTTTGAGATTTAGAATCAGGTTAATTAGACAAAGAAAGGACCAGAGAAGGAGAAAGAGTTAAAGAAAATAAGTAAACTTATAAAGAGAAGATGAAGTGGGCGGAGAGAAGCGATAGATGAGCACAGGGTGCCAAGAAAGCAGTGGAAAATGACAGATGCATAGGACAGTCTTGGGGTGTCAGAAAACAGTAAAAATAGAAAATAGGATTTGGAGGCAGAAATGAGGATTTTTATGTCTTTTGAAAAATACAAATAAAGGTCAGAACTGTTTAGTGGCTTTTTGTGACAGGATTCAGCTCATAAAAAATAAACTGGGCTTTGTGGGACCCTGAGTTCTATTCAGAGTACATGCGTAAAATGCACGCTCTCCACCCTTTTATTTTTATTTTTTAATTTGGCCACTGTGGATTCCCCTTAGCCTACCACACTCACTCTGGCTCAATGAGTTGCCTGCAGTTCACGGAGAACATCTTTATTTTTTTCCTCACACCTGAGTCTTTGCGTTTGTCAAACATTGCTCCGTCTACTAAGGACACTCACCCTTATCCCTGTTTTTTACACCCACCTAAGGCCTAGAGCTTCTTCAAATCAGTTTAAATATTTACCTGCTGGAAACCTCCCTTCCTACTGCTCCTAAAATCTCAGGTCTGACAGATGCATATCTGTGTAACACAGATATCCAACACAGATAACACAGAGAAGGCACACGCCTGCTCTATCAGTCTCTTTATGTCTGTCTCTCCCACCACCCTGAGTTCCAGGAGGCAGGATGGTGAACAGCAAGAGAATGAACAATGTCCCAGGTGAAACTTGGAGAAGGGTAACAAATGGCATCAGGGACTCAGAGTGGTTATAAAATTAAACCTTCTTCTAAGACACGTCTACGACAGTCTTCTCAGACATTGGTGGCCAGTGTCCTGAAGGACTCATTCGGATTGATTGCAAAGTCCACCCCCAGAGTTTCTAATGGACAGGTCTGGGGTGAGGGCTAAGAATTTGCATTTCTAACAAGCTCCCAAGTGGTGTGATGTGCTGGTATAGAGGGGACACTCGTACAAGCCCTACCCTGAATTGTTTTTGTTTTTGTTTTCCCATCTTCCTCCTTCCAGATTCTAAGCACCAATCAGTGGCAGGAAGTGATGTTAGACACTTTGACTCCTCTCTGTGCCCATCCTCTTATTCTAGACTTTCAGAAAGTAATAAAGCAGTTGCTCACCCCCTTCGTGGCCATTTTGTGGAGTGGTTAAGAATGCACAGGGTCCAAAGACAGAGCTGGATCCTAGTTTTACTTCTGCCATTTACAAACTGTGGCCTCAGCAAGTTACTAATTTCTGTGTGCGAAGTGCTCTACACAGTGCCCCAATAAAGATGAGTGTAATCAGAGTCATTTAGTAGTATCATTGTTGGTAGTCTCTTCAGATGAGATCTGCTTTCCTGATCTGCTTCCTTCAGTCTTCTCTTCATTATACACTCTCATTTAATGTAAATAACAGTCCATGAAACTGTGTAGTTTTGAAGACTCCCAGATGTTTCTATACAGGTTTCAGAACTGCTAGAAACCTCTCCACCCCAGTGCACCTCCTTCACCTCTGATAAGGCAGTAGAACTCCCCATTCCCTAGACCTAGGGTGAAGCAGACTGTCAGAGTAAACTAGACCTAGCTGAGCACCTTCGATGGGGAATGTAGGTGTCCCAAAGTAGAAAAGAAAATAGAGAAATGCCAAAGAAACACAGGGGTGGAGGTCATGGGAGGAGGTAAGTTATCTCTGAGGTAAAGGAATCATACTCACAGAGCAGAAAATCTATGTGAGTCAAGACGAAGTCAGAGTCAGGGAGATGACGGCCTGTGGGAAAGCTCCCAAGCTGTTATCTGGGATAGTAGAAAATAGTAGGAATGGCTACTCAATGTTATACTACCTCACAAATTCCAAGGATTTTCATCTTTACTTCTGCACACTGTATTTACTTCTGGCTCCCAGAGCCAGCCTTGCTGCTCACCAGCTCTCAGTCTTGGCTCCACATTAGAAATGCTTGGGGAGGTTTTAAAATTCCCCATGCCCAGACCAATTAAATCAGAATTTCTGAATAGGAAACTCAGATGGGAGGATCGTTAAGGTTTCCCAGGTGATTCCAACGTGTAGAATCACTGCTCTAACAAGCCATATGTTCTTCCCTCTCCCAGACTCTAAGGGTGATCAGCTGGTATACAAGCTTCCT